GGGGATTGGAATGCTAAAGTAGGAAGCCAAAAGATTACCGGTATAACAGGCAAGTTTGGCCTTGGAGTACAAAATGAAGCAGGGCACAGGCTGGTAGAATTTTGTCAAGACAATACGATATTCATAGTGAACACTGTTTTCCAAAAATCCAAGAGACAACTCTAGACATGGACCTCAACAGATGGTCAGGACGGAAATCAGACTGACAATGTGCTCTGCAGCTAAATACAAAGAAGCTCTATACAGTAAGTAAAAACTAGATCAGGAGCTGACTGTGTCTCAGATCATGAATTTCTTGTTGCAAAATTTAGGCTTAAATTGAAGTAAGTAGAGAAAAGCATTAGGGCACTCAGATATGACCTAAATCATATCCTTGATGAATACACAGTGAAGATGACAAATAGATGTAAGGAATTAGATCAGATAGAGTGCCTGAAAAACTATGGACAGAGGTGTGCAACATTGTACAAGAGGTAGCAACTAAAACCATCCCAAAGAAAAAGAAATGCAAGAGAGTAAAATGGACAACTGAGGAAGCTTTACAAATAGCTGAGGGAAAAAGGAAAGTGAAAGGCAAGAGATAAAGAGAATGATACACCCAATTGAATGCAGAATTCCAGAGACTAGATGGAAGAGATAAGAAGGCCTTCTTCAATGAACAGTGTAAAGAAATAGAAGGAAAAAAATAGAATAGGGAGGGCCAGAGATCTCTTCAAGAAAATTGGAGATGTGAAGGGAAAGTTTCATGCAAAGATAGGCATGATAAAGGACCAAAATTTCAGAGACCTAACAGAGGCAGAAGAGATCAAGAAGAGGTGCCAAGATTACACAGAAGAACTGTACAAGAAAGAGCGTAACATCCCTGATTACCATGATGGGGTGGTCACTGAGATCTAGTCAGACATACTGGAATGTGAAGTCAAAGGGGCCTTAGGAAGTCTGAGCAACTGGAAAGCTAGTGGAGGCGACAGAATTCCAGCTGAGCTATTCAAAATCCTAAAAGTTGATGCAGTAATAGTGCTACACTCAAATGCCAGCAAATTTGGAAAACTAAACAGTGGCCACCAGATTTAAAAGGTCAGATTACATTCCAAGCCCAAAGAACGGCATTGCCAAAGAATGCTCAAACTACCGCACCATTGCACTCATTTCACATTCCAGCAAAGTTATGCTCAAAATCCTACAAGTTAGACTCCAGCAGTATGTGGACCGAGAACTTCCAGACATACAGGCAGGGTTTCAAAGAGGCAGAGGAACTTGAAATCAAATTGCCAAAATACTCTGGATCATGGAGAAAGCTAGGGAGTTCCAGAAAAAATCTACTTCTGCTTCATTGACTAAAGCCCTTTATTGCGTGGATCACAACAAATTGTGGCAAGTTCTTAAAAAGATGGGAGTACCAGACCATCTTATTCATCTCTTGAGAAACTTATATGCGGTTCAAGAAGCAACAGTGAGAACGGGGCACGGAACCACTGATTGGTTCAAAATTGAGAAAGAAGTTTGGCAAGGCTGTATACTGTCACCCTGCCTATTTAACTTATATGCAGAGCACATCATGAGACAGGCAGGGCTAAATGAATCACCAGTTGGAATTATGACTGCAGGGAGAAATATCAACAACCTCATATATGCAGATGATACCATGCTAATGGCAGAACGTGAAGGGGAACTAAAGAGCCACTTGATGCGGGTGAAGGAGGGAAGTGCAAAAGTTGGATTGAAACTCAATATTAAGAAAACGAAGATGATGGCATCTGGTCCTGTCACTTCCTGGCAAATAGATGGGGAAGAAATGGAGATAGGGACAGATTTTATTTTCCTGGGCTCCAAGATCACTGCAGATGGGGACTGCAGCCAAGAAATTAAAAGGCACTTACTCCTGGGGAGGAAAGCTATGGCAAATCTAGACAGCAAACTAACAAGCAGAGACATCACCCTGCTGACCAAAGTGCGTATAGTCAAGGATATGGTTTTCCCTATTGCAATGTATGGCTGTGAAAGCTGAACCACAAGGAAGGCTGAGCGACGAAGAATTGAGGCCTTTGGCTTGTGGTGCTGGAGAAGACTCCTGTGAGTCCCTTGGAATGCAAGGAGAACAAACAATTCTGTCTTAAAGGAGATCAACCCTGACTGCTCTTTAGAAGGCCAGATCATGAAGATGAAACTCAAATACTTTTGCCCCCTAGTGAGAAGCAAGGATTAATTGGCGAAGACCCTAATGCTGAGAACAATCTATGGCAAAAGATGAAGGGGACGGCAGAGAATGGGGTGGATGAACGGAGACACTGAAGCAGTCGGCGTGAGCTTAAGAGGACTCTGGGGGGCGGTGGAAGATAGGAAGGTCTGAAGGAATGTTGTTCATGGGGTCACGATGGGTTGGACGTGACTTCACAACCAGGATCATCACCAACAACACTTTGGTTTCTTTTTTTCTTAATCAAATTTTATTATTTTCTCTATAAATCCAAAACTAAAACAACAAGTATTCAGGACATCCGACATACTGGGTCAACAGTTCTCTCTTTTTTAGACTCAGCAACCATATTCAATTCTACACAATTCTATTAGTTTCTCTAACTAATAATACAAGGTTTTCCAAGTTTGATAGAAGTATGTATCTTCCTTCTCCTTCAAAGACAAGTTCAACCTTTCCATCTCTGCGCAATCCAAAATCTTTTTTAAAATCAACTCTTAAGTAAGTGGCTCTTCACTTCTCCAATGTTGGCAAATGCAATCCTCGCCACAATAGTTATATGTAAAGTCAAATATATAGTTTGTTTATTGAAGTCATCAGGAATAATACCTAATAGAAAAACTTCAGGTTTCAATGTTTAAGGTTTTTGCATTATTTCCTCAAGCCATTTGTGTATTTTAACCCAATATTTTTTTGCCTTAACAGAAGTCCACCACAAATGATAAAAAGTACCAGGTTTGTGTTTACATTTCTAACACCTATTTGACATATTTGGAAACATTTTTGCTAATCTATTTGGAGAGAAATACCATCTGTAAAACATTTTATATAGGTTTCCTTTATATGAAGTTGCTATGGTTATCTTAATTTTTCTTTTCCACCACTTTTGCCATTTCTGTAACTCACTATTATATCCAAAGTTTTGTGCCCATTTTATCATAGTTTCTTTAACTTGTTCATCTTCCATTTTCTTTTCCAAAATAAAATTATGCAAGCTTTTAATCACTTTTTCATCTGATATTAAAATGATTTGATCAAATGCTATTAATCCTTATAAAAACCATACATTCCATAGTCTTTAATATATCTTGATTGTATTTGAATCTTGTGCCACCAAGAAAAATCAATATCATGTTCCTGTAGTTCTTGATTTGGCTTCAATTTTCCATCATTATCTAAGATATCATCATATCTCACAATCATATTAAAATTCAATGCATTTGGTTATGTAAGAGCTTCCATAGGAGAAAGCCATCTCGGCAACTTAGTATAAAGTTTTGTCCTTAGCTTTTCCCAAACTTGATATCACCAAGTTTCTAACAATGATTTAAAAACAACCGTGTTTCTTATATTTCTCATACCACAACACTGGGACAGTAAGTTACACTATCCACTCAGATGACTGTCCAGTTGCATCTGGAATGCTACCAGTGTGGGAGAGCCCACAATTTTCTAAGGCAACTGATCCCACTTTCATATTGCTCAAACTGTTAGCAATCTTTTTCTGGTATCCAGCTTGAATCTGGTTTCCTTTAACTTGAATCTAATATTCTGTGTCCTGCTCTCTGGGATGATGAAGAGGAGATTCTGTTCTCTGCTTTGTGACAGCCTTTTAGGTAGTTCTACAGTGCTCTCCTCTCTCTCCTCAGTTTCCTTTTCTTTGGGGCTGAACTAGTGCATTTCTCTCAGTGTCTCTTCTCAGGGCATGGTTTCCAGACCTGGGGTCATTGCTGCCCTCTTCTCAACTCTGCCCTGCTTGTCTGCATCTTTCATACACTCTGTCGGCCAGAACTGGACACAGCACTCCAGGTGAGGCCTAACCAGTGCTGAGCAAAGGAAAACTAGGACTTCAGGGGATTTGGAAGTGATCCATCTATATATGCAGCATTTGCTCTCAAAATTGCATTTGTCCTTTTTGCAATCACATCACATTGATGACTCACATTCAGGTTGTGGTCTACAACAACTCCAAGATCCTTTTCCCTTGCAATATTTTTGAGCCAAGTATTCACATCTGGTAGCAAGGCATTTGGCTTCTTTTTCCTAGGTGCAAAGCTTAGCACATTCTCATTGTGCTGTTTTCAGTCTAGCACTTCATCATATGCATTCCATTTTTATCTTCCAACATGTGAGCAGTCCCACCTAGTTGTAAGTCATCTGAAAATTTTATGCACATTCCCTGAACGTCCTTCAAATCTTTAATGGAAATATTGAAGAGCAATGAGCAAATGAATGAACCCTGTGGTAGCCCACTTGACACCTCTCTCCAGTTTGAGAATGTGCTGTTGATAAGTGGTGTTTGAAAACAATTCTGCAATTGGTTTTGGAACCACCAAATAATTCTTCTATCACATCTACTTTTTGTTAATTTATCAGGATGATGTGGGCCACTATGTCAAAAGCTTTCCTACAGCCAAGATAGATTACGTCCACAGTCTTTCCTCTGTCCCTTTGAGAGGTTTCAAATATTCTGATATGGATACCTGTAATGATAGAGAAAATTATCTCGAAGATACTTTTTGAATTGATTCCATTAGCAAGCTTTCAATGGAAGATCATGTAGCTAGGGGATGGTATATAAATGTGCTAAATAGATAAATAGATTGTACAGTTCAGTCAATCCACATTGAAAGGAAGGATTTTAGTGCTCAAACAGATGATTCCATGAAGTACATAAAATAGCCACACTCAATGATCATTTCAAAAAGTGACTGGTTGTCACTGGGAATTGAGTTCCCACTGGGCACAACAAATGCTACTATTCACTCCTCACACTGCTCCTTCTCCTCCTCGTCACTGCAAGGTGGCACCTCTTTCCAGGTGTGTGGAGAGCTGTCGTCCCGGTTATGGCAAGCAGACTCTTGAGGGGAAGCTGCCCTGCTGCTATGCTTGTGCCCTGTGTGCAGAAGGGACATTCTCCACTCAGGAAGGTGGGTTTTCCACAGGGGAAAGGGATTTCCCTTTGGGTGATGGGCAAAAGGATGAGTCTGTCGAAATTCTGTATGTGTAAGGAGAAATTTAGTGAACAAGAAGGGCAGCATTTCTGGAATACCATACCCAGGAAAACGAATACTCGGCCAAATGGGATATGATTCCACTGGCAGGGGAAGCCACCTTCATCTGCTCAACCAGTTTAGCAGTGTTGATGCTCTTGTTCTTTCCAGCATCTCATTTATGATAATTCCATCTTCTTAGGAACTCACTAATGATCAGTTTTAGAGAAAGCTGTTGAGGGGAAGTTTTGAACTCAGGAGAGTATCCAAGCGGGTCTCCAACCATGTCCATTCCATCCTGCCCCTGTGACGTAGCTGTTCAAGCAATTTGTCCCTCCAAGACATTCTGCCAGATTCTTACCCTCTTTAGGAAATTGTGCAAAGTAGATGCCTGGCTCTCCCTTCTAGGCAGCATAACAATGGAGTAAAATGAAATGAAAGAAGGCCACTTCCTACCACCTGACCTTTGTTCACACAACCACTTGTTGTGGAGATGCAAATCAAAGAAAGCAGAACTACTCCCACAACCATGATGGGCTTAGCACAGTTCAGCATCATCTATCTATCTATCTTTCCATCTATCGAATTGATATCCCACCCCTTTAGCCAGAAGAGCCATCATGCATAATCCTTTCATTGAGCTCATATGGACTCTTTAGGTTCGACTTTCAGGACCTTCATCATGTCCAGCAGAGATGGGCAGGCATGTCCAGCAATGGGAGGGCCTTGTGTGATATGATGCCATAGACAGAGCATTGCAATCAAAAGGTATGCCCCCTCCATTGGGACTTCTGGCCTCTCTCCCTGCTGATTATCTCCTGATGTCTCCAACATCCCCTTCTTTACTAATTGAAGTACATGTCATTCTGGATGTCCCATTGATCATTGCATTGCTGAAGAGACTTCCCTTCTTTCCAGATGCAGAGCAATGCAGCAGATGTCCGGAAGATCAGCACCCAAACAAGGACCGAGATCACTGTGTCCCCAAGAGAATTACATTCCTCTCCTATGAGGAACCTTTGGGGATTCTCCTGGCTACATTTGCCCTAATTTGCCTTTTAAGCACAGGTTTTATGTTTGGAATCTTCATTAAATTCCGAGAAACTCCAATTGTCAAAGCCAACAACAGGAACCTCTCCTACATTCTCCTCATCTCCCTCCTGCTTTCCTTCTTGTCTCCCTTCCTGTTCATTGGCCAGCCAAGCAAAACAACTTGTCTGCTCCGTCAAACAGCCTTCAGCATCATCTTCTCAGTTGCCACCTCGAATGTGTTGGCCAAAACCATCACTGTGGTGCTGGCCTTCCTGGCCACCAAGCCAGGCAACAGAGTGAGAAGGTGGCTGGGAAAGAGCTTTGCCAATACCCTTGTTATTTCCTGTTCCAATGTCCAGATCATCATCTGCTCCATCTGGCTGGCTGTGGCTCCACCCTTCCCAGATGCTGACATGCACTCCCAGACTGGACACATCATCCTACAGTGCAATGAAGGGTCTTTCACAATGTTCTATTCTGCCCTTGGCTACATGGGCTTCCTAGCTGCCATCTGCTTCACTGTGGCATTCCTGGCCAGGAAGCTTCCAGGAGTCTTCAATGAGGCCAAGCTGATCACCTTCAGCATGCTGGTTTTCTGCAGTGTCTGGGTGTCCTTTGTGCCCTCTTACCTGAGCACCAAGGGAAAGTACATGGTGGCCGTGCAGGTCTTCTCAATCTTGACTTCCAGTGCTGGGCTGCTGGGCTTCATCTTTCCTCCCAAGTGCTACATCATTGTCCTGAGGCCTGACTTGAATACAAAGGAACATCTCATGATCAAAAACAAAGATACGATCTGACTGAAAGATTTAGCCTGGGACTGGGACTCTGGGTATCTGCTACCAGGATGATCTTTTAAGTAGTGGCCACCAGTGGTGGAATGTGCCCCCTAGATAGATTCTCCATGGCTACCTACTTTGCAAGCTTTGGTTCCATTTGAACACTTTTGCATTCTCTTCACCATCAAACTGAATTGTCCTATCTTCAGTTTTTGTTTTTATTTTTCGTTTTGTTCTTGCTTTTGGTTTTTTCTTTCTTTTTTGTTTTTTTAACATGTAATATTGTAGGATTAAACTATGGGGCATCAAGGTTTTGAAAGTTATGCATATTTTATCTTGCTTTATTTTTTTCCCTTTAACTGGTGTTAACCACCCAGAGAGTTGTTGGTATTGGTTTGGTACAATAAAGTAATATATATAATAACCCAACCTACACTGCCACTTCTCTTTTGTCCACAGGCTCCTGAACCCCAATTTTTCCACCTATTATTATTACTATTATTCATATTAGGATTGGTATTAGTATTAGTATCTTATTCTTACATTGATTTCTCACTCTTCATCATTTTGCATTGTAGCAAAGGTAGATCACACCATCGTCCTTCTGTACAATTTATTCTCAAAACCACAACCTTGTAATGTGTGTGACTGGTGAAAGATCACCTTTTGAGGTTTACTTCAAAGTGGGGACTGAAACCTGTGTCATCCCAAACTGGTGAAGCAGTAAAGCTTGACTTCAGAGTTTGTGCATAAAGCTTAGGTTGTTTGTCCAGAGTTTGTATGCCTCTTTTCCATATCCCTCATAGTGATACCGTTTCTCTCTTTCAACATGGAAGCTGCTCCTAGGTTCCCTCTTACCTCATTGTGCAAAACCTCCAGGCACAGCTCAGGTCACAGATGAGGAAGGAACTCTACAACGCATGGCCTGCCCCATGAAGGAATTGGAGGATGGTCCCTTCCACTGATCTCAAGCATGGGCTTTTGAGTGATCTTGGTGGCCAAAGGCTTCCTTTGCGCTGGAGAAACCTCATTCCTTAGCCTGTCCCTCCTGGCCTGAGTGGATGGGACATGAATTGGGGCCATCCTACAGAGGACCCCCTTGGAGATGAGGGCAGCTCGACACTGACACTGCCATTTCCATGGCTGTGTTCATCAATATGATCATGCATCAGCACATATTAATCTGAGAACTGCAAGCTGACTGCCTGGAGGGAATGGATTGTCCTGTGGAATTGTCCGATCTCATGATATGGGGCAGTCCATGTTCATTGCGGGGTGGGGGGCATTTTAATTTTAATTCTTATTGAGCTTAGCAAGTGAGTGCAATTCAGATGCTTTGCCAAAACAGTTAATTGTGATTGGAAAGAAAGTAGTGGGGTGAGGAGGTCTGATCCAGGCTTAGGAGAACATTTCTGCAACCGAAAGGAGATGCTTTGCCCCATTGGCTAGTGTGGGGTCTCCACCTAAAGTCCTAGCCATGCTGAAGGCTGAATCTGCCACCTTTACATGGAATCAGGGTGGTATCAGCAGCACTGGGGAGACATTTCTCCCTCCCTGCACTGCTCTGGGAACTGCATGGAGCCTTGGAGGTTGCAGCGCAGAGGCTTCTGCCCCTCACAATTAACACAATCACAAGGACTTATGCAGTTTCTCACCAAAACTTGAAGGGTTTCCCCTGAGATGTCTGTTTGCTCACGCATGTCAGCTGCAGGATCTCATGCATCATGGAAAATGTGGGCATGGAGCCTGCAGAGGTCCAGGTATGGGTGGTGCCAAGATGATCCCTGTGCCCCTGGGAGACCCAGCTGAGACTCAGGGGAGCTGGGCAGGTAGGGGAGGGCTCTGCTGGAGTGATGCTTCCACCCATTCCCTTCAGGTTGGAAGCCATGCCCCACCCACAGTGCTTTGCCAAAGCTATCCCCCAGTACCACTCTGAAGTTGGGAGTTGGTTGATCATCTGCTGAATCTTTATCTCCAAAATCCTGCAAACACAGGGAATATGCAATAGGGTTTGTTGTATGGCGCGATTTTACGGACGAGACCAGAGACTGGTTGGAATTATCGAGAGAGATTTATTTACCTGCCGGGAGGGACCATCACTTGTTAGAGTGCGGTGCTGAGCAGATCGAAGGCAGGATTTTTATACTCTTCCATACTTATGCTTGAATGACAGCGAACAATAGGGGAACAATAGGGGAAAGCACATTTGCACATTTATCATGCTAAAGCAAGCAAGCGTGGGTACAAGGGCATAACGTCTGCGGTGATACTGGTAATGCTGGAGCGTAGCCTGCTTTGTTGTCAGCTTTGCGTAGCATGCACATCCGTGTTCGTGTACTTGTTCTCATGCGAACAGGACACCCTGATCATGCTTTTTACTCGTGATGAGCTATGCCCTGGCTACGTGCTACTCGTGATGAGCCATGCCCTGGCTACGTGCTTGATTATGAGGGGGTTACAACATTCCCTACTGGTCTTTTGGGGAATCGAATCATCGAGTCAGTGGACCGCTAGCGGGCGGAGCTTGTAACCATTACCCTGCCCCAGATGAGACCTGACATGAAATGCCAGTACTTTCACAGCATTAATGCGCTGCTGGAGAAGGTGGGTGACCCAACTGAGCAGAAGGGGCCCAAAGATAAGGAGAAATAACAACCCTAAAAGGGGTCCAGCAAGGGAAGAGAGCAGACAGGTCAGCCAGGGGGACCAGTTAAAGAGGCGCGGATACCAGTTGGAACCCCCCTGGTGGTGCCTTTCCCAGTCCTCCAAGCAGGCTTTGACTAGGTCTAGACTGCTACGGATGATGCCTGAATGATTTGCATAAAAGCAGCATTTCTCATCCAAGGCAGCACATAAGCTGCACGGGGTGAGGCCAGATTGGCAAGCAAAAAGAGTCCCATTTGGGGCTGCCAGGAGGTAGCGGCGTGCTGTGGGGGTCAGGAGTAAGGTAGCAGCATATCATGGATCATTGCGGGGCCCACCGGGACCCGTGACACAGGTCCCTTGACCTGAGAATTCTTCTAATGTTATAGAGAGGTGGAGCCCCCATGGTCAGGTGCTCCCATAATTTTCCGAGTAGGAGATACACATTCACCCCTAGGACGGTTGCTACTGGCGGGGAGGCCTGCCAATCAGTCTGCAGTCTGCAATGTCCATTCCATGGTAAGTGGGTGGTGTGGGTTTGGGAGGGGACAGCCTACTGGGCGGGCAAGAAGAATCAGGAGGGCTGCTGGGAGGAGATCCTTTTTAACTTGACTCGCAGAGGGTTTTTGGTTTGGTGCACCGTCCATTGTTCCGAGAGGACTGGAGAAGCAGGCTTTATCTGTGTCACGTGGAACCAGTGGGGTTTTTCGGCCAGTCTTACCGCCGTAGGAGTGGAGAGGATCACCTGGAAGGGTCCTAGCCACCGGGCACCTAGACTGACAGGGTGAAAGTTCTTTAGCCAGACCCAATCTCCCGGGTTTACGTGTGGGGGATGGTCGGCTGCGGGGTCCGGAGCCTCAGTAGTCTCGCCCATGTTGGACCGAACCTGTCGGCGAATCTCGTGCCGGACGCGATCGAGGGCCTGCAAGGACTCAAGCAAGTTGTGGTTAGACAACTCGGCATGCATCTCCTCTGCCAGGCGGGGAAGCAGAGGAGGCGGTTGCCCAAATACAATTTCAAAGAGGGTGAACCCCTTCATATAAGGGGAGCATCGCGTGCGTAGGAGGGCAAACGGAAGGAGGAAGGAGGTCCGTCCAGTGACCACCAACTTCAAGAGTGCGCCCAAGTCCTTTTCCTTCAGTGAATAAGTTGGCCGTTCAGGAAGAACTCGGGGAGGCAGATGTACCGGGAGGATCTCTAGTGGCCCTACTGGTCTTAGGGCCACCTCTCTGGCAGTTTTGTCAGCGAAATTATTTCCTTGAGAGACCGGCGACTCATCCCGCTGGTGCCCAGGGCAATGAATAATAGCCATGCGTTCTGGCAACCAGAGGGCCTCCATTATTTCTTCTGTGTTTTTAATATCCTTCCTCCCGGAGGTCAACAATCCCCTTGCCCGGTACAATGCCCCGTGGACATGAGCCGTGGCGAAGGCGTACCGGCTGTCCGTGTAAATGTTAAGAGTCTTCCCCTTCCCCCACCGGAGGGCTTGCGCTAGGGCAATGAGCTGCGCCCTTTGGGCTGACGTGCTGTGTCCCAGTGACTGGGCCCATATTACCTCAGATCTTGTGACCACCGCTGTTCCCGCATACCGGACTCCGTCCTTGACCAAACTGCTCCCATCTGTAAATAGGTTGTGGGCCGGCGGGTTTAGCGGGACATCGGACAAATCTGGTCTGGTGCCGGTGATAGTGTCGAGGACTTCAGTGCAATCGGGGGCAGGGCCCTCCTGTTTGTCCCCCAGCAGGAGGGTGGCCGGATTTAGGACCGTCGTCTTAGAGACTTGGAGAAGGTTACCCGGGGAGGGTCCAACAGTAATACCTGATATTGCGTGGCGCGAGCGTTGGAGATCCAGCGATCAGGTGGGCTTCGGAGAACGGTATCTACTGTGTGGGTGCCGATGATCTGGAGGTCCTGGCCCAACGTCAATTTCTTAGCCTCCTTCACTAGGTTTGCCGTTGAATTCTTTCTGGGATATTTCCACTAATTCACTAAGTAACTTTCCCTCAAAGCCATCTTACTTCTGTATTTTTTTTCTTTTTTTTCTTTTTTTTTGATGTCTGGGGCCGACTGTGAAACAAAGGCTATGTTAATTGCCTGTGCGTTCTCGGCTGCCCGAGGGTCTATAGGTGTGTATTGCCTATATGCCTCAAGTAGGCGTTCCAAGAAAGCGGTGGAGGATTCCCGGGGGGCCTTGTGGTTTTTAAGAGAAAAGGGGGGTTCTGCTGTTTCCAGTTATAAATCTATCCAAACAATGCGAAAATGCACACAAAATAAAGCCTTTGTTGAACTGGTGTTGCACGAACCTGTTGCTTGCCTAGGCTAAAGAGAAATGTGCTTTCTTCTGGACAATGAGAACAGTTTTACACAATTTCTTATTG